TCTGCCCCTCCCCCGCTCATGCTCTGTCTCTCTCTCAAAAATAATGAAACATTAAAAAATTTAGGAATTCTGTTAGCCTGTTGTTTAGTCATCGGGAACATGGTGGGAGCGTTTATACCATGGGAATTGGGAAAAGTAACTTACCAGGGTTTTTATTGTATTCCAGAGAGCCACTGTGTTTTATTGTTTGTCTGCAAGCTATGGGTCCTAAAACAATGCATAGGCAGAGAAAGTCAAAGGGGAAGAGCTACACGATGGAGAAGACCAAGGGGGAAACATGAGGCTCTGAGGGCCTGCCTGGGGCTCTTCAGAGTTCCCTTTATCTGTCTCACAAATACCGGGTTATACTGGAGCCAGCCCACCCAGCTGCTGAGTCTTAAAATTCAAAAGGCCTCAAACAGAACAGAAGTCGCTACTCCCCCACTTCCTCCCCTGAGAGGCACAGCCAAGGTTGGTCAGAGTTTATTGGAGGGCATCGGAGCCATCATAAAAGAAGGCTCCAGGCTTCTGGTGTCTGTCGGGGTCCATCTCTCCTCTGTCCAAGACGGAGTGTGGGGGCACTCAGGCATCAGTCGCCCATGGGCAGCCACAGGGCCTTGGTCCGTGCTGCCCGCAGCCCCAGCTCTGGGCCTGCTCCCTGGGCTTCCTGATCCCAGGCCCGAGGGCGGCCCCTGTTCACCCACACCGGCTTCAGGTTTCCTGCTGAGGCCCACTCCACAAACTGGGAGCCCTGACACAGAAAAGGGGGATCAGCCCTTCCGCCAGCTTGGTTGCCAAGCAGCTGCTTCCTTGGCAACCAGGACTATTACTGCGGAGGGGCCCCAAGGCTTGACCTAGGCTCTGGTGCTACAATGCTCAGCTTGTAGCAGGCAAACCTTCCAGATACGAGGGAGACAACGTTGACCTTTGCGGACGGGCCCCAAGGCTTGACCTAGGCTCTGTTGCTACAATGCTCAGCTTGTAGCAGGCAAACCTACCAGACGTGGAGGGAGACAACATTGACCTTTGCGGCTGGGGAATTTCCTCCCCATTAACAGCCCACATTCAAAGGAATGAGGCCTGAGGTTCTTATGACAAGGAGTTCCCCTCTGTCACCTTCAGGCTTGAGGGTGGACTGTGGGCTTCTGAGTCTGTTACAGGGTGTGGTCCCTTAGCAACGGGTTGTCCAATGAGATTGGGTCTTTGGGCCGGGCAGGATCTCAGGCCCTTGTTGCTGTGCTAAGGAGATCCTCTCCCTTAGCAACAGGGACTCTGGAGGGCGGGATCTCAGGACCCGGTTGCCAAGGAATTTCTCCTCCTTAGCAACGGGAACTCTAAGGGGGCACTGCCAGGTTTCCAGAAAAGGAGGAGACCGTTGGTGAGGTTTAGGACGCTGGAGAGATGGCAAAGCAAAGGGTACCTGGGCAGATCCGAAATACCACAGGGCCTGGACGTCCTGGTGCAAGGCCAGGCAGCGGGTCAGGTGGTCCCGGTCTCCAGTCACCACATTCACCAGGCCCGCTGGCAACAAGGTGGCCATATCCTAGGGGATGGGAGAGGGGGTCGGGAGGGAAGGGAGTCAGAGACGCCGAAGGCAATAGGTTGGGTGAGGAGTGAGCTTCCGGGGAGGGCTCACGGGGTCCTGACCAGAATGGTCACGGGGTCCATGAGCAGTGCAAGCTTGGATGGAGGGCGGGGGCAATGGGGACTGGGGTTGCCGTGGTTACAAGGGGGTGGGGCTAGTGCAGGCCTTGGGACACCGTCCATCCCTCTGCTGCCCCAGGGGCTGCTGGGAGCAGCGGCAGGAAGGCGGGCAACCGTACCTGGCAGACCTCCAACGCGGGGATGGGGCAGACCCCGCTGGGCACCAAGACCACGGTGTTGCCATGGGCCAGGGCGGCGGCCAGCAGGGACACAAAGGCAAGCAGGGGCCACTCATCAGGGCACACGATAGCCAGCACGCCCAGCGGCTCCCGCAGCCGGAGCACAGGGCCTCTCAGCTCTGCCACCTGCAGGGACAGGCAGGAGGTCAAGGGCTGGGTTGAAGAGCCTCATCGTCTGCCCCTTTCCTCCTCTACCTATCTTTGCTTCTCTGTAACAACTCCAACAATAATTAACCAGGTGACGGTTCAGACCAGACTTGGGCCAGGCAGCTGGGTTGAAGTCCCAGCTCTGCCACTTACCAGCTGTGTGACCTTGGGTGAGTTACTTAACCTCTCTGGGCCTCAGTTTCCCACCTTTCAAATGAGGCTATTGCTTACCTCGTAGATTTGTTTCTAAAATGAAACAAGTTAATGCATGTAGAGGGCTCAGAATCTGGCCCATGTTTTGTTTGTGTGTGTGTGTGTGTATGATTAAAAAAAAACCCACAAAATTTTATTGAATATAATTGACATTCACTAATCTGCATGCATTTTAAAGGGTACAATTTGATAATTTTTTTTCTTTTTTTTAAGTAAGCTCTACGCCCAACGTGGGCTTGAACTCATGACCCTGAGATCAAGAGTTGCATGCTCTAACGACTGAGCTAGCCAGGTGCCCCAATTTGATACATTTTGAGATCTATATGTACTCCTAAAACCGACACTATAATCAAGGTAATGAACTTCACCCTTCAAATCTCCTTGTGCCCCTTTGTGATCCTTCCCTCCTGCCTCCATTTGTTGTTTTTTTTTTAATTTTTAATTTTTTTTAACGTTTTATTTATTTTTGAGACAGAGAGAGACAGAGCATGAATGGGGGAGGGGCAGAGAGAGAGGGAGACACAGAATCGGAAGCAGGCTCCAGGCTCTGAGCCATCAGCCCAGAGCCCGACGCGGGGCTCGAACTCACGGACCACGAGATCGTGACCTGAGCTGAAGTCTGACGCTCAACCGACTGAGCCGAAGTCTGACGCTCAACCGACTGAGCCACCCAGGCGCCCCCCTCCTGCCTCCATTTGAACCCTCTCTGTCCTCAACCACTTCCTCTCACCATAGTTTGTATTTTTTTTTAAAGCTGATTTATTTATTTTGAGAGATTGAGGGAGTGCAAGTGGGGGAAGGGCAGAGAGAGAGGGAGAGAATCCCAAACAGGTTCCATGCTGCCAGTGTAGAGCCTGACATGGGGCTTGAACTCACGAAACTGCGAGATTATGACCTGAGCCGAAACTAAGAGTCCGATGCTTAACTGACTGAGCCACCCAGGCACCCCTATAATTTGTACTTTCTAGAATTTTCTAGATTTGCAATTATAGAGTCTGTACTATTTATTTTATTTTTTTAAATCTGGCTTCTTTCACTTAGTGTAGTAATTCTGAGATTCATCCACCATGTAGCATGTTCACTCCTGAATGCTGAGTAAGATTCCTTGTAGGGACCTACCACAGTTTATTTATTAACCAATCCAGGGACATTTGGATTGCTCCCTATTTTTACGTATTTAACTAATTATTTAAATAAAAAAAAAATTAATGTCTTTATTTATTTTTGAAGGAGAGAGAGACAGAGCGTGAGTGGGGGAGGAGCAGAGAGAGAAGGAGACACAGAATCCAAAGCAGCCTCCAGGCCCCGAGCCGTCAGCACACAGCCCGACACGGAGCTCGAACTCACAGACCGTGAGATCATGACCTGAGATGATCTGAGAGTTGGACGCCTAACCGACTGAGCCACCCACGCACCCCAATTATCTCTCATTTCTATCCCTGAGTGCTCTGGTGCCATTGCCTGACTCACTGAATCCTCACGCTTTCTTTCTTTTTTTATTAAAAAAATTTTTTTTAAATGTTTTATTTATTTTGGGGAGAGAGGGCACGAGCGAGCGAGAGTGGGGGAAGGACAGAGAGAGGGGAACAGAGGATCCGAAGTGGGCTTTGCACTGACAGCAGCGAGTCTGATGCAGGGCTCGAACTCACCAACTGTGAGATCTTGACCTGAGCCGCTGTCGGATGCTCAACCAACAAAGCCACCCAGGCACCCCTCCTCAACCTTTCTTCACGGACTCACTGTATGTTTCATATCAACCCTGTATTTGGTTGCCTGTCATGTATATAAACAAAACCAAAGTCACACGAAGCAACACTCTGTGTAAGACATTCTATATTTCCTGTTCTATTCTGTTTAAAAAAAAAAAAAAAAAAAGCTGGGTGGCTCAGTCAGTTGAGCGTCTGACTCTTGATTTCAGTTCAGGTCATGATCCCAGGGATGGGGGATCAAGCCCTGTGTCGGGCTCCATGCTGAGCGTGAAGCCTGCTTGGGATTCTCTCTCTCTCTCTGCCCCTCTCCCCTGCGTTCTCTTTCTGAAAAGAAAAGAAAAGAAAAGAAAAGAAAAGAAAAGAAAAGAAAAGAAAAGAAAAGAAAAGAAAAGAAAAAAAGAAAAGAGTAGAGGGGCGCCTAAGCGGCTCAGGCGGTTAAGCGTCCGACTTTGGCTCAGGTCACGGTCTCGCAGTTTGTGGGTTCGAGCCCCGCGTCCGACTCTGTGCTGTCAGCGCAGAGCCAGCTTTGGATCCTCTGTCTCCCTCTCTCTCTCTCTCCGCCCCTACCTTGCTCGTGTGCACTCCCTCTCTCTCAAAAACAAATAAACATTAAAACAAAAAAAGAGTAGGAAAAAAATCATACTGCAACCACTAAACTGATTTTACGGTCCAGAAATGGGTTACTAACGACAATCTGAGGTGCTACACTGTGATGCAGACCATATGCCCATTACACAGATGAGGAAATCGAGGTGCGGAGAGGGGAGGCCACTTGCTGGTGATCGCGTGCAGCTGGGATGCTGTGCGGCTGGGCTCACTCCAAAGTCCTTGCTCTAACCTCTACTGCAGACCGCCCGCCCCGTCTGCTGGCCCCCAGAGCCCTCTCACCTGCAAGAGGTGGCCTTGGGCCTGGGCGCGGGCCCCCCACGCCCGCAGTCGCCTCGCGCTAAGCTCCACCTCCACCTTGGCGGTCTTGAGCTCCACTCCGTGCCTCTCCAGCGCCGAGGCGAGGGCAGGCTCCCGGCGCTCCAGTGCAGATGCCAGGGCCCACAGCAGGGACGCCCGGGCTCCTGGTGGCTGGCTCACCCAGCTGGGGGAGGGCAGTGCACGTTACGGGGCGGCTTCCTGCTCCTGGTTCTTTCCAGGTGCCCCAGCTCTGTCCACAGCCCCTACTGCGGGGCTCCAGACCCCACGGCCCATCTGCATGGGGAGGGGCGTGACCCATATCCTGTCAGCTTTGGGAGCTCAGCCCTCAGGACCCAGACCCCAGATCCCATCAGCCCTTGGGGGAGGGGGGGTCTCAGGCTACCCTCTGAAATGCCCCACGACCTCTGGGTTTTCCCACGGGGTTCCCCTTACCCAGGGGCAGCCTGGTGAGCGGCCTCCACGGCACCTCGGATATCCTTGGCTCCGCCCTCAGCCACGTAGGCATGGAGATTGCCTTTCGAATCCTGGATGCGTCTGGAGCTCTGGGCCCCAGGAGCTTGGAAACGGCCCCCGATGAAGAGCCCATAGGGGGCTGCTGGGCTGGAGCAGGGCGAGGCGTGGGGGTGGGTCCTGGGGCCAGGTCTACTCGGACCCCAGGCTCCACCTACTGAGCCTCTGGGAGGGCACTCCTTCATTTAGCAGAACTGAGACTCCCTTCAGGCAGGGGTGAGGGGGGTGGGTGTGAAGCCACAGAGAATGCAATTCTGGGCAGGACTCGGGGACCCCCCTCAAGATGGCTCTAATGAACCCCTCCTCCAGTCCCTGGGCAGCCTGCTACAACTTCCCTTCTCCCCGCCTGCCGTACCCCCAGAGATTCTGGGAGTTGCAGCTCACCTGGGTCCTATTTCAGGCCCAGATGGTAGGGTCAGGGGGACAGCAAGGCCAAAGGTGTCATAGTTCAGATTCTCAGAAAGGGAAGGCAGCCGGGCAGGGGTCCCGGAGGGCCGCAGATACTCATACAGACCCTGTGAGAGGGGCAGAGTGTCAAAAGGACGCAAGGTGGGCACTGGGTGGTTGAAGGGGGTGCTGATGGGGGGCAGGAGGAGGGAACTCACGTCTGGGCCCCCGTGCCAGGAAGACCCACTCTCCTTGCAGCCACCTGTGGGCACTTCGGGGTGTCTAAGGCCGTGGGCGTTGATCCAGACTGTGCCCACCCGGAGCCTGTCCGGGGAGAGGAGGACATCAGCAAGAACAGAAGGTTGCAGGGGGTAAATGGTCGGAGGGGCAGGGTGGAGAGAGACCCAGAGACCCACAGAGAGTGGAATGGAGACCTCAAGACTGAGAGAAAGAGCAGAAGCTTGAGCCTCCCCCCCCCCCCCCCC